GCCGGGCTTCATTCCCCACCGGGCCGGGTGGCTGCCGGGGCGAGAGGCGCGGGCCTCCTCCTGGAGGAGGGTAGGCAAGGGGAGATGGGCCCCCAACACCCCCCACGCGTGACCGGGTGAGGGGTGACGCGCGAGGATGCCCGTCACATCACCCCGACCTTTGCAGGCCCATGGGTGGGCGTTTCCTTTAGAATACAGGACGGAGCTAGAGAGCCCTCACTGCCCCCTCTCCCTCCCGGGGAACCCTGCCATGCCTTGCAGCCGAGGACTGAGCCTGGGCTGTCCCCATCACCACCAGCCCTTCTGTCGGCACCCCATGCCCCCGGCCCACCCTCACCCTGGGAAGTGTTGGGCTGGCTTCACCCCGGGGATGGGGGTGCTCGCAGCTGCAGCCCCGGTGGGGCCTTACCTGCTGCAAGGGTCTGAGCCGACCACCGTGGGCAGGAGGCACCCGGGAGCTCCCCACCGAGTGCAGGGGGTCAGGTCCTGCCCTGCACTGTGCGGACAACAACACCCAAAGATGGGTGCAGTTGCACCCCCAAAGTCCCCACGCAGGGAGAAATACACCCTATGGAGCGCCAGGGGAGACTGGAGAGGTCAGGCAGCCTTGGAGTGGGCAGGGGCCACGGCTGCAGCGCTGGGGCAGGGCAGGGAGCACAGTGAGCATCGCATTAATATTTGACAAGGGCATCGAGTGGCAGCACCGGGGCTTAGTGGGTGGCACCGATGCAGGTCCTGGAAATAGTGGCTCAGTGGCTTGGCTCCAAACCTCGCCTTGCTCCTTGGGCTGGAGGAGAATGACTGAGGCTGGTCACGGCACCTGCCCCCCCACGCGGCCAGGCCCAGCTTTGGGGACAGCAGGAGGGTTTTGCACTGGCTGGCACAGAGGGCAGGTACTGACAGCGGGGAATCTTCAGCGGAGGGACCCACTGCTCCACTGCCCGGACACCTGTTAGGATATTCAGCCACGTTTGTGTTCCTTCGCTCCACCACCATCCATTATATATGGCCAGGATGGATTGGTGGGGCTCAGTTACACGTGAGAAATTCTATCACAGGGCTGGAATAGAATCAAGAAGCAGCAGATCAAAGCCTGTAAACACCTATTGTCTGCTGAGGATCCGTTACAGATTCAGCCTCTTAATCCCTCCCTGGCCCCGGGGCTGGGAGGGGCTAAGTCGACACAACCCTGCAATACAGCCACAGCACCAGGGTGGTGGTGCTGTGCTGGCAGCAGCACGGTACTCTGCAGTACTGATGGGGCTGTGGTATGAAACACAGGAATCCGGCCTGGTGCCAGGGGTGCCACGCGTCTCAGGTTAACCAGACAGATGTTGCAAGCCACGACACCAGTTGCACACCAGCCTGCTCCCATCTTGTTGCCAGCATGGTGGGTGAGGGCTGTAGCTTTGCCAGCTACTGGGCCAAGGGGGGATTTTTCTGAAAGCCCTGTGAGGTTTGGATCTTCTAGGTACCAGAAAGCCACTGGCAAACATCCTGCTGGAAAAGGACAGAAAGGGCCACTTGGATGACTTCAGGAGAGCAGTCACAGACCCTTTCAGGGTGAGCTTTCTCCTTCCCCTTTCCTTTCCTCTCCCAGAGGCATATCCCCACAGCGATGAGCAAAGCAGCACGGGAGAATCCAGCAATGGCTCCTCTGCTCCAGTTCCAACACCGACATTCCTCTCTCTCTACCAGTCCCTGGGCCGTATCCCACCCTCTCCCCAGGTTCACAGCTGTTTCCTTCTCTCTCCCCCAGTGTCCAGGGCCGTACCCTTCCCACTCCCCCAGTTCTGCAGCAATGAGCAGCACAGAAGCAGCCAGGCCTGGCCCCCCTCATCGTCCCCTGTGGTTTTATTTCAGAGGGACCCCAGGGGAGCCTGGCCCCCCCACTCAGGAGCAGAGCCAGGGGAGGTGGTGCACATGGTCCCCTGAGCCCGGCTCTTCTTCCCGGACCCTCTGCAGCCACGACGGGTCTTTGCTGGTCTCTGGAGGGTGTCAGAGCTGGCTGCACCCGTTGCTGTCCCGTTGCCAGGATGGGCTCCAGACACAGAGGTGGGGCATGAAGGGGCTGCGCTCCCCATGCTCAGTGGACGGTCTCCGGTGCTGAGGACCTCAGGGGTCCCACTGCAGCTGCTGTTGCCACCATGACCATGTGTAGGAATGGAAGTGGCCACAGTGACAGTGGGCCACCCCACCATGGTCACCCTCCACCTGCGAGCCAGAGGCCCGTGCTCACGGCTCAGCCTGTACCCAGGGATTGCATCTCCCTTGGGATGTTGGCTGTTTGTCCCACCTTTCCTATTACATGGCAGAGCGGCCACGCCCTGCCCTGGTTTTAAAAATAAAACTTGTTTTACATTTTGTAGGGGGAAAGAGATACCAAGAAATGTGACTCCACATTAGTACCTGATCAAGCTGCAAGTCTCACACCAAGGTATCACTTTGCTGTGCTGGAGAAGGCCTATTGTGAAAGACTTCTTTACACGTTTGTAAGACCATGTGAAATTGCATGTATTTTGTAGTCAGGGTTCAGGTTTTAAAGAACACAGGATGTCAGCTTTCAAATACTGTTCAGAAGACATCAGCCCTTTTAAACACCACACTTTTTTTGACAGACTCAAGGTTGTTTCTCAGTTGCATTTTATCGCCATAATTCCTGCTGCCTCAAAACCTGCCATTGCTGACAACACTTGCCCGAGTGTGTTTCTGTAAATCTGATGCCAAATTATTATATAGCTTCACACACCCACCCAGGGGATATTACCTGTGTTACAGGAATGATCTGAGAAACATCCAGATTAAGGTAAAAAGATATCACCTAATTTTAAATGTCCAATTTCAATGTTCAATTATGGGATGCCAGACAGACGAGCTTTGTTTGGATTCTTAGGAAAGCTGTACAGATTTTGGATATTTTAATGCATCATGAATCTTAAGGAAATACAAATCGAATATATCAGTACTGTGGATGTTAGTGTTTTGGTTTTGGACATATTATGTGTCCTGATTCAGCTAGGATAGGGTTAAGTTTCCCCAGCAGAGAGGGGGAAGGGATCTCCAGCCGGGTTATTCATACCATGCTGACGTCAGGTCCGGGTGCTGGAGTGCGAGAACTTTTTTCCTTTGTGGCTTTGGTGACGGGGAGCACGCGAGCGAGCTGTCTGTAACCACTGCGGTATTTCTCTGTATATCTTCTGTCTTGTTTACTGTTATTGCTGTTTATTGTTGTTATCATTGCTACTGTTGTTGTTCAGATCATTTATCACACTATTGTATTAAATTTCTCCTTATTATAATCTGGGGTTTGTGCCTCACTTCGAGCCTGACTGGCTGAGGGTGGGAGAGGGGCAACGGCAACGTGTTCTCTGGTCCCGGCAGGGCTTAAACCACCACAGCCTTTTTGGCACACCAACGTGGGGCACAAGAGGGCTGAAATAAGAATCAAAAAGGGACAGACCCTGAGCAGAGTGTGTTAGAGCAATCTGTTGGATGTAATTTTTCTGTTTGTATTTGTATTTGTTTGTTTTCTGCATGAAGCTCTTCATGCCCCCAGCTTCCATGTGCAGATGGGTGCCCAAACCCCACAGGATGCCCAGTGCTGCCCCACACCCTCAGACCCACCTGGCACCACAGCCACAGCGGGTTCTCAGCAGCCTTCTTTCTCTGCAAGCACCTCTCCACAGCTTTGTGAGCCCAGCTCAACACCAGCAGCCATCTGTTGCACCTGGACAGCTGGACAGCCTGCCCCAGCACCCGAGTGCTCCTACAGGGGAAGAGCCAGGTCTGAAAGCTGTTGCTGGCCCTCTCCTTCCATAGCTACCTTTTCACAGTCCCACCAACACTGGGGCTCTGTGCTTGCTCCATCACTTAATACTCACCCTCACAATAATATATAAACTCACAATGTAGGACGCAGAAGTGGCCTGGGCTGAAAGATGCTGCTGGCCCCCACCATCCTTGGCTATCCTTTCACAGTCCCACCAGCACTGGGGCTGTGTGATTGCTTAGCCACTCTCTGCTCTAGCCTCTAGCAAGAGCTCAGCTCCAAAACTGAAGGAAGTCTAGTGCTTTGTCCTACACTGAATGGGCCAGAACTGAAAGTTCTTTCTGGGCTTCATCATCCCTTAGTTATCCTTACTGTGCCAGACCAAAACTGGGGCTCTGCACTTGCTTAGCCACTGAAAGGTCCTCTCACTCTTTCTCAGTCTAGGTAGACATCATCTCCAAAACTGAAAACATCCAGTGAGTCCTTCCACATGGAAAAAGGCATAACTGAAAGTTTTTGCTGGCCCTCGCCATCCCTTGGCTATTCTTTCACATTTCCACCAACACCAAGGCCCTGTGCTTCTCTAGCCACCTAACATGCTTACCAGAGCCCATATGCAAAAGAGAAACCCCCCAGAGTGGGCTGTCACACTGACGTTAGAAAACTCTTTTTAGTTCCCAATTCTCTTCAGCAGCCCGTTCACAGTCCCACAAACACTGGGGCTCTGTGCTTGCTTGGCAACCAGATGGTCACTTGGT